GGCCGGCCTTCCTCCAGCTGACACCCGAGGAGCTCCGCCGAGCCGACGACCACGCCGGCCGGGCGGTGCAGAGCCCCCGCGACGGCCGCCGCCGCCTGCCCTGGAGCACGGGCTACGCCGAGTGAGCGGGGCCGGGGTCGGGAGCGGGGTCTGGGGTGCCCTCGGGGCCGGGGTTCCCCGCAGCTGGACGCGCTCCGGTCAGGGGCTTTGCAGCCCGGGGAGGGTGGGACTGGCAGCGCTCGGCACCGGAGCAGGATCCTTCGGGACTAAAGTGGGTCGCAGCCAGCCGGTTTCTTCCGAAGTAGCAGATGGGAAGCTTGCTCTTTAAATGCCTGCTGATGGGAAAGCCGTCAGCGTGGGTTTATGCTCTTACCCGTCCCCGAGGCTTTCAAGCTCTCCTGTCTTTTTTGTTTTCTGCGCTTATCTGCTCGGTACCCGCTGTCACTGATGGGGAACTGACACCGGGGGGTGAAGGAACCGCTGCGGCTCTGCAGGACTCAGGGGGAGGAGGGAATTGAAGCTGTCTTGGGAGTGGGACCTGATTTCGACTTCCCCTTCAAGGGCCTGATTCTCTTCTCCTTTTACTCACTGCTAGTTTCACCCTTAACTGAAGGCAGGTGGGGAAGGTCAGGCTTTGCAGGCCACCTTTGCTGCTCAGTGCTGTCAGTCTGCCCCCCATCCCTTGCTCAAGGTGATCTTCCTATATCCTAGGGAGATTTTTGAGATGTTAATTTGCTCCGGGAGATACTGAGGTAGGAGTACACAGAGCAAAAACCACCCAGAGCAAAAACCACCCTCTGCTCAGCAGCAGGACTTCTCTTCTACCTCCCGAAATGTCTTTCTGCAAACCACTTGAGAAGTCCGTGCCCAAAGAGCTCATCCTGTTGTGCATGTTTACTGCTTCCTCCTGTAGGCAGGTTTTGCAATCTAGACCTGCAATCTGCTTTGCCAGCATAGGTTGTGAAAAGTTAGTCTGAATCTTTTTGCAAAAGTTCTGCTGGTTTCATCTTCATCGCCTTCTCTCCTCCTTCCCTGAGGCATCTGCTCCCTCTGAGAGGTGCTGGGTGTGATGGGACATGGATGAGGCTGTAATATATTTGCTGACTGTCCGTGAGTCCCGGCTGGGGGGGTGTGTTGAGGCTGGTGCAGGTTTTCAGGCAGTTGCTGTGCTTGGGGCAGTGCTAGGGACCTGCAGCAAAAAAATCCAGCTTTTTCTGGTTGCCTCCTTTGGTGGATGCCTGGACGGCTGCTCTCCCCTGGACCCAGCTGTGCTGGTGGGAGTGAGGACTGCCGCTGGCCCCGGATCAACGCCTGCAACTGGTCTGGGACGTCTCCTTGCCTGGCTGCTGCTGCCCCAGACAAGGCAGGAGCACTGCAGAGAGCATCCCTGGGGATGTGGGAGTCGGGTGGGAGTCGGGGTGGGGGGGGGGTGGTGGGGAAGAGGTGCTGCGGGGTGGAGCATGGTGTGAAAGAAAGAGCCTTTATACGTTGTTTCCTCCTGACAGGGTGATAAATGCGGGGAAGAGCCAGCACAACGAGGACCAGGCATGCTGCGAGGTGGTGTTTGTGGAGAGGAGGCCCAGCCCGAGGGGCCGGCCACCATCCAGGGAAGATGGCGGGGAGCTGGACGGGGTGAGAGCCGGGGCGGCGCGCGCAGGCGGAGACACAACAGGGAGGGTGCCGGTGTTGAGGCTGGTGCAGGTTTTCAGGCAGTTGCTGTGCTTGGGGCAGTGCTAGGGACCTGCAGCAAAAAAATCCAGCTTTTTCTGGTTGCCTCCTTTGGTGGATGCCTGGACGGCTGCTCTCCCCTGGACCCAGCTGTGCTGGTGGGAGTGAGGACTGCCGCTGGCCCCGGATCAACGCCTGCAACTGGTCTGGGACGTCTCCTTGCCTGGCTGCTGCTGCCCCAGACAAGGCAGGAGCACTGCAGAGAGCATCCCTGGGGATGTGGGAGTCGGGG